TACTTTATAATTTATAAGAAGTAGTTTGATTTATAATGAGTTGTATAGATATACAGATTAAAAATTATTTTTTAGAGAAATAAATATATTAAAAATATTTTTTATAAGTTATAAATAATTTATTTTTTAAAAGTATAAAATAATTAATTGTTATAAAAAAACGTGTTGTTAAATTTTAATCCCAGACTTATTATCTTATAATCAGAACTTGTTATTTTTAAATGTATTGTTGTTATCACTTGAAACAAAGTGTATTGTTATAAAAAAACGTGTTGTTAAATTTTAATTCCAAACTTGTTATTTTATAATCAGAACTTGTTATTTTTAAATGTATTGTTGTTATTACCTGCAACAAAATTTATTGTTATAAAAAAAACATATTGTTAAATTTTTATTCCAGTCGTGTTATTTTACAATCAGAACTTGTTATTTCCAAATGTATTGTTGTTATCACCTGGAACAAGAGTAAATGAGTTAACTTATATTTTTTTTTTGCATCATAATGTTAACAAAAATTTGTTGGCTCAATGGTCATTCTTTATTTTGGGAAGCATTAGGTTGGGGGATCAAATCCCCCCAACCTCACTTCCCCCACTATTTAAAAAAAAACAGTTGCAAAAAAAAAAACAAAAGAAGGCCGCCGGAAGCGGCCGCCGGCACCGGAGCTTCGACGGCTGGACCCCGGCGTCCGGCCGTCAACAGTGGCCGGAAGTGGCTGCCGGAGCTCCGGCGCCGGTGGCCGGATTCCGATGAGGCAGTGGCTTTCTTTAAAAAAAAAATTAAATAGGGGTATTTTGGTAATTTGACCATGATTTCATAATTACAATTTGAGACCGGGTCCCTCATAGTAATTTGGCATATTCAGGTGACCATAGAGTGATTTTGCTAATTCAAGGGTCTTTATTTGTGATTCTCCCTTTTGATATTGGTAAATTAATTAAAATAACTTATATTATGGACTGAAGGTTCTTGCATGCCTCTCAGCAGCTACAGTGCTTTGATATTTATTTTTATTTATTTTTTTCAATTTAGCAGGGGTGTGTAATTGGTTATTTGGTTCAGTTTAGTCTAGAAACCGAAATACCCAATGACCAGCTTGGAAAATTTTCAAACACCAAATTGAACCGAACTTTTATCACTAATTGAATAGAAACCAAACCGAAATATTTCAGTTCGGTTTTTCGGTTAATGCTTTTAAACTTACTATAGAATCTCAAGCATGAGGGAGATGAAACAATAAGCCCAAACACCACAAAGATCCTAGAGAAGTGATCTAACCTATTTGTTATATATTATTTCATATCATTTTGTGAGTTTGTATAGATTATTATGAGCATAATTGTATATATTTATGTCTAATATGATTTAGATGTCTTTACATAGAGTTAATGTCTTTTAGGGTCAAAATTGTCAAAATTGTAATCAATTGTTATTAATTAATTTCTAAGGACAATTGGTACTTCATTTAGACTAACTTTTATTGCAAGACATAAGAAAAATAGAGTCAAGATCAAAGACCAAAGAACAACACAACACAAAATGGAAGAGTAGTGGTTCTATCCAATCCGTCGTGGCATGTTTGTGAAGCTACACATTTTACTTACAAAATCCAACTCTAAATAGTTTATCCACCCAAAATCCAACCTAGCCCTAACCAGAACACCCTAAGACTGATGCTTTTTCAAACCCTAGCCACAATCATTCATTCACAACCTCTTTCATTCGTGCTCTTTCCTCTCATTCACTCTCCTTCACCAAATCTTCATCTTCTCCCATTTTTTCTTCATTTTCTACCATGGCTATTTCTACTCCAATGCGTGGCTAAATCTTTATTCTCTTGAAGATGGGTTGATTAGCATGAGCTCTAAAGGTTTCAAAGGGGAGTTGGCTTCATCCTTATTTTTAGCTATTTTATTATGATTTTCTAGGTCTTAGGAATTGTAATTTGTGGCTGAACTATTTTGGTTATTTTTGTAATCAATTCTGGATGATTATTTTGTGTATTGGATTGGTTCTTGTTGAATTTAAGCTTCAATATATGTGGTTACATATATATTTCTGTGTAATTTTCTTGATTCTCTACTTTCTTGCATGGTATTGTTAGATTGTCGAGTTAATATGAATTTGCATTGAATCAAGTGCATTAATTAATCCTAATACACATACTAAGTGAGTTTAATAGGATTTTATGAGACAGGTGGCCATTGATTAAGATCCTAGATTTAAAGGATACTTTAAGACTTTACATTTAGAAAACTTAGTAATTTCTACTTCCAAAATTGTTTTGAACTATGATTGCCAAAGAACTATTTTCAAAAGGTTTCATTAATTAACTTGTGTTTCAACCATTCCATCCTAATTTTCCAAAAATTCAAAAATATATTTACATTGCATTTCATCTCAATTAATAGTTGTAATGAAAACCTTAACTTTTTCCTAGTCAATTTACATTCTCATGTCATTTAGTTAACTTAGAATCAATAAATTAAAGCTCCTACAAGTGAGACGACTCGAGGTTATGTCTATATTACAATCTTTGGTTAAATTTTGAATTTGACCTCGAGGTGCAAGCGAACAGCCATTTCAAGAATAAGAACAAAAGTGTGAATGTGGAGATGAAGTAGAGGAGGAGAAAAGTAGAGATGAAGTAGTCAGCACAGACAACGCAAAAAAGAACAAAAACGTCAATATAGGGAGAAAGAGGAAGGCGATACCATGACAGCAAGGAAGAGTAAGAGAGCATGAGAGAGAGAGTGAGCAGCCGTGAGTTGAGATCAATCAGTAAAAAGAATATATGAGCCTTTATGCAACTGTGGGGCAATGATTGATGAGGCAGTGATGCAACTACCATATGAGAGATGATAAGCTACTCATCTTACTTTAACTTTTAGGATTTAAGATATATTAGGCTGGGTTTATATATATGCTTGGGCCTAAGATATTAGTAATATCATATTACTTAGTTTCATGTTATATGAGGACATATAAATGTATAAATATATAATATTATATATGTTGACAAAACAAAAATTGTATATACTTATAAATTTTTATTTTTTGGTTTGAAATCGATTTTTTTTAATTAACCAAACTAAAAATTGAACACAAAAGTTTAAGAAAAATGAAAATCAAATCGAAACCGAACACCAAAAAACAAAAAATGCATTCATTTCAGTTCGTGATTGGTTACGGTTTTGTTTTACTTACACCGAGACATTAGAACCACACTATATTTTTTTGGCAAAATGACCAAAAAATGATTCTTGAATTTCAAAATCCCAAATGGTCACTTAGATAAGCAAAATCCCAGTTTGGGTATAGCTGACCAAATTAGGATTTGTAAATTTATTGAAATGACCACACTGCCCTTTATTTTTTTTAAAAAAATACCCAACACATTTACCAATCGACTGGTTGCCAGAGCCTTAGGGTTGGCGATGGCTTGTGGAGTTCAGGTGGGCCACCATTACCAAAGCTGTGGCAATCAGCTGACGATCGGTCATTGAAGCTCTGGCAGCCGGCAACTATTTTTTTGGGAATTTTTACAACTTTAGTAACGCAGTTAACAAGTTCTTTAATGCTATTAACAAGTTTGGTATACCATTTAACACTAAGTTTTTTCAAGAAATTCAAAAAGTGGCTTGTGCATACTTCAGTAACGTGGTTAACAAGTTTTTTAATGCTATTAATAAGTTCGGTATAACATTTAACAATAGGTTTTCTAGAAAATTAAAAAAAATGATATCTTTACAATTTTAGCAACGTGATTAACAAGTTTTTTAATGCCATTAACAAGTTTTTTAATGCCATTAACAAGTTCAGTATAGTAGTTAATAATAGGTTTTTTTAGGAAATTCAAAAAGTGGTATTTTTACAACTTTAGTAATGCCATTAATAAGTTCGATATAACAGTTAACAATAGGTTTTCCAAGAAATTCAAAAGGTGGCATTCTTACAACTTTAGTAACATAGTTAACAAGTTATATAACTATATTAACAACTTTCATAATGCATAAACAAAATTTTCCTATGAAGGCTGACGTTTTTAATATTAGCTCATATACATCAAAATATTTTTATTTATCAGCCAGTTACTATGATTATCAGAGTTGTTAATATCATTATATGACTTGTTATTAGAGTTGTTAATGTCATTATGAGAGTTGTTAATATCGTTACATAACTTGTTAATCGGGTTGCTAAAATTGTAAAAATATCACTTTTTGAATTTCTCAGGAAACCTATTGTTAACTGTTATATCGAACTTGTTAACAGTCTTATAGAAGTTGTTAACCACGTTACTGAAGTTATAACAATGTTACGTTTTGAATTTTTTTAAAAATCTGTTGTTAGCTATTTTATCGAACTTGTTCACAACATTAAAAAACTTGCAAGCTGCGTTACTGAAATTGTAAAAATCCCCAAAAAAATAGTTACTGGCCACCGGTTGCCGGTCAGCTGACAGAGCTCTGGTGATGGCAACCCACATGAACTTCGGCAGCTATCACTGGAACTAAAGCTCCGGTGATTGGCCAGCTGGTGAAGGTGCTTGTTTTTTTTTTTAAATTTAAAATAAAGGATAGTATAGTTATCTTGGCAAATTTGTAAATCCTAATTTGGTCACTTATAACTGGACTGAAATTTTGTTTATTAAGTGACCATTTGGAGATTTTGAAATTTAAGAATTATTTTGTTACCAATTTTTTAAAATTGTTTTTGCCAACATTAGGATCACGCTGTATTGATTAAATAAGCCATTGTAATAACCAATAGCAATTTTACATGGTTGTCGGTTTGGGAACCCAAAAAAACAAAAAAGAAAAAAAAAGAGACAATGAGGAGGAAGGACTTGTTTTGGAATGATTTATAAATAATTTTTTAAATATAATTTATAGAATACGAGATAAATAAACTAGAAGAGTTTTTGTCACAGTATTGTGTGGAAGTGTTTATAAATACTTTTTTGTAATGTTGATCCCCCGAGGCACTCCGCTTGATTGTTCCCGTTTCAATTTCAACGTTCAATTAATACCCGGCCATAAATAAGTGCCTCGAGCTCTGACTTATCTCTATTGCGTCTCTTCTCTTCCATTCCGATTCTAATCTGTTCCCGTCTCTTTTGCTTCTTCTCTCATGGCTGAACAGAGTTCCAAATCCGTTTACGACTTCGCTGTCAAGGTTATCAGTCTTTTCTCTTCCTTTCTCCTTCTTCCTTGCTTCAAAATTTACTGTGGGTTTTCTTCAATTTTTCTTTGTTCTTAATTGAAGAGCTGATTTGACTGAGAAACATTCATGGGTAGAAGTAGGACTAGCTCATAGAATTGATATGCCGTGCCGTAGGAACCTACAACTTAATTAGATAATACGCCAATGGATCTTTTATTTCGTAGTTAATATCGAAGCATCTTTTGGGGCTTCTTGTGCCTTTCTTTTTTTGTTTTTATTTTCTTGCCTGTTAATTGTTGTCCTCACCCCGTATCTCCAGGTTCTGCTGAGTCTAGCACTGCGGATTTCACTTTCATTTCCTTTTCTTATTTCTTGTTTTCTTTTTATAGCATGATTTGGATCCAGAGCTTGCTCGTTTAGAACTGGTTTGTTTATGTTTCTTGCAAGATTAATATATTATGGCCTATACCATCTTAATCTAGCCTCGTAATTAGAGGTTGAGTGATGAGTATTGATACAAACCATATATAATAAATCCCACCTTGGCTTTAAAGTTGTATGACCTGATAATAGAACCTACTTGCTTAACCCTAGTCGTTAAACAATTCTAGTTTGCTCAACAAGTTTTTTTTTTTTAAATATGACAAAGCTTAGTTGCAGATCTGCAGTTCTTTCTTGTTAAAATGACAAACGAATTTTCTTGCAAGTTAGCACGGCGTGATTCGGTGTTTTAGAAATGTTTATTCATATGTAAAAGGAAATAGCACCGCATGATTTTGTACTGATTTTGCAAGTTAGAATAGCATGATAAAGTTAATTTAGTGCTCTCTGAATTCCGCAAATGCAGGTTTGCTTAGTATTTGTGCTGACGTTTTTCTTTCTGCATAATGTTCTATGATCCATAATTGTAGGACATCCGTGGAAATGATGTGAACCTGAGTCAATACAGTGGAAAGGTTCTGCTAATCGTGAATGTTGCTTCACAGTGGTAATTTGATTTATATTGATTGCTTGTTCATTGTGTAAACTATGTTAATCTGATCTTCCTTTTGAAGAATAAAAAAGGGAAAAAGTCCTTCAGTATGTGTCCACTTTTCAACCTTATTTATGGACTCTGTCTGGGTTGCATCACTGGTTTTACCCCCTTGTATATGAAGTAGAAGGCCATTAGTCTCTCAATCATACAGTTGTGAGATTTATGGCCCACTTTCTCGGTCATCAAGTTTACCCGTTGTTAGGATTTGTAAAATCAACACATGAAATTTATGTTGAAGATTCTTTGTTGTTTCTTTTAATTGATTGTTATTTACAGAACTTTTATATTGTCAATAGAGTCAGTGTCTTATAAGCATATATGTACCTTTTTGTTTCTTATTATGTTTGATGCCAGATGAAGTAGAATGGTATTCTGCTATTGAGTAGAAGCCTTCTTGGTTTATTGGAAACTATTAAACAAGAAAGATCTTTTATGTAACATTTTCAGGATTTTGAGGATTTTACCAAATTGCTCTATCTATTTTCAGTGAACCTTTTCATGGAATAATTCCAAATTAGAAACGTGGAGCTTCATCTAAACCTTTAAGATAGGACCTTGCCAGGTGGATTTAAAGTGAATGTTGGCCTAATGATGTTGGAAAAGCCATAGGGCACGACGCCAAACAGGGAATTAATTTCTTATAAATTAGAAAAAAATGGAGAGAGAAACACCTATATGCAGTGTCATTGTTAACAGAAATGATTGCTTCTGCTACAAGGGAAGACTTATTTTATTGTATTATTGTTATCATGATTCTTTGAGAAGTTTTAATTTTGGCAATATTTACTTGATAATATATCTGGCTATTGTTGCAGTGGACTGACACAAACAAATTACAAAGAATTGAATGTATTGTACGAGAAATACAAGAACCAAGGTCTGTCATTTTGTGAAAGAAAAAACCTCGTGTATTGTCTTTTCAATGAGGTTTTAAAAGTTTGTAACACTAGAACTTGTGAGTTCTGCAGGGTTTGAAATCTTGGCATTTCCATGCAATCAGTTTCTTGGACAAGAACCTGGAACCAATGAAGAAATTCAGGAAGTTGTTTGCACAAGATTCAAAGCTGAATTTCCTATTTTTGATAAGGTAAATGATGCGATATACTTGTAACTGAGGAAAATTATTCTAACATGCAGATGGACTTCAAAAAATTTTGTCTGTTTCGAGTAATAGGAATGCTCGTGTTAGACACAGCATAACATATCTAGTTATATTTGGATACTTCAGAACCCCCTCCCCTTTTCCGGGGTAATTTCATGTTTTGTGGGTACACTACTTTGAACTTATATTTAACAAAATATTCATTGTTCTTGAATGATATTGTTTCATATCCAGGCCATTGAGAATGAATATGGAGACAACCTAAAATTTACTATGAATTAAAGGATCAAGTACTTTCTCTTTCCCCCAGAAATGTTCAAATTGTATGAACTTCCTCCATATTTTCAAAAATTAAACTTAGCTCTCTAGCGTAAAAGGATCTGTTGCAATAACCTCCTTTATGGAAAATGATGAATTACAGTTAATTGCCATTGTATATATGTGATCTATATGATATTCGTAAATGTTGAATATGTATTTAGGCATTTTGTAAGGGAAGAGAGAATAATTCTACCCTAAGTTTAATTGCCTAAGGTTGAAGTGAATGGGAAGAATGCAGCGCCACTTTACCAGTTTTTGAAAGAACAGAAAGGGGGACTATTTGGAGATGGGATCAAATGGAACTTCACAAAGTTCTTGGTAGATAAAGGAGGAAAGGTTGTGGAGAGATATGCTCCTACCACCTCACCTCTGAAAATTGAGGTAAGAGAAATTTTTGTAACTTTTCTGAATAGTACGCTGTGTATTTCCCTGAATAGGGTTTACATAACATATAGAGTAAAGAGAATAAACCTAATTAATGTGAATCTGATCACATCCCCTAAAATCCTCCTAAAGATAAGGAAATAATAATAGCCTGATTTTGTCATAATCTGACTGTTAAAAGAGATACAGCTATTTAATTCTAGGAGATTATAGCGGATTAGGTTTAAACTAATCAGTGGGCTTTTGACAGCAGGCCCACTTTCCCACAATTTTAACGGTTTTATTCTATTTAAGATATTAAGGTTGTCCCTATATGCTCCCTGCTAGCTAATATGCTATATATGAATGCCACTTTTTGCAGAAAGACATTGAGAAACTTATTCAGTCATCGTGAGCTTGAGATTTGATTTTATACCATATCCTATGTATAACAGCCAAGAGGTTAGTATTGTAGTCGTCTTGTTCTTGTTGTTCTTTATTCTTATTATTGTTAGTCCAATCACTAAAGGTATGCTGCTACTCCTTACTCTTCTATTTACAAAGCCATACCTATGGGCTTTTAATATAAAAACTTTTACAAATTCATGGAAAATTTATAATTGATGTCCAAAATACGCTTGTCTCTTTTTTTTTTTTTTTTTTTTGGGAGAATGGGGGCTCAAGGCCCAAATCAACTAAAACAAACAAGTCAAATAGAAAAAAAGCCTAACAGAGACACCCATAAGACTTAGCCCATGTCCTGCCACATCAGACCTTTCTCCTCTCTTATTCTATTAGCTACTTTCGGATGAACTATGAAGAAAAGTTGTCTTCCCTCAAATCTTAGATCCAGACCAATCTTTGCCATTCCATCAGCACAAGCATTCCCACTTCTACCCACCTTTGAAATTCGGAAGTGCGCACAGCCCTCTACAACTTCCATAACCATCCTGATGTGTTTGGCCACCTTCGTCCCTTCAACTTCTTTCCCCTTTAAAGCCTGAATCCATTTCGAAGTGGATCTTTTTGAAACCCAGCTCTTTAGCCGTCCTTAAACTAGACATAGCCCCCCAACACTATGCTTCTAACGCCGAGCACCATCCAACATTCATTGCAAACCCCACAATCCAATCTCCTTTTGAGTCACGTAGAACCCCTCCGCAGCTCGCCCGACCTGGGTTTCCTCTACTAGCTCCATCTGAGTTGATCTTTACCCAACTCTCTTTAGAGCCTGCAACTTACACCACAGATTTCCCCTCTTTGGTACAACTAATCTTTGGCTCTTTTTTTGCCTGGAAGATCTCAATAGCAAAACACTAAACACGTTCTACCTGCAAGTCTCCATTTTGATCTCCAAAAACTCGAAGGTTCCTTTGCATCCGTAAACACCAACAAGTGACACCAAAGACGAGATTCCAAGGTACACCTCTAACTATGTCCCCTTTCTTCAAATTTTCTTTCAACTAATCTACTAGGTCATTTGTAAAATAGCATGCTTGGGGTCGCTATAAGGAAAAAGTCAGTCCTTTTCTTGCAATGGCACAATCTCTTATCACATGTAATACCGTCTCCTATTCCACACAAGCGCTACATGCTCCTGGCCCACCCCATCTCCTGCTCCTTAAACTATTAGTGAGCAGCTTGTCTCTTGCCACAAGCCAGAGAAAACACCGTATTCTTTCGGGTCCTAGCCATTTCCAAACCAGACCCCAAATTGCTGCTTTATCTCCTAAACGATCCCCCCGTAACCTTTAGTATCCAGCCCGCACAAAGTGCTGACCACTACTACCACCACCCCACTATAATTTATCTTCTTGGTCACCCCTCCAAGGAGGCTTAATTGCTTGCAAATGCAAACAAGTTGAGTCAGCTAATACTGATCTCAAAATCTCCCACTTCCAGGTCCCATCTTCATTCACAAGGTTTACTACCACCCAATTCTTCTCCACTTCCTTGCCTCACGTTTTTGCTCCTCCCATAGGGTAAATCCTTTCACAACCCACTGGTCTTTCCAGAAATTTACCTTCTCACCTGATTCAACCCTCCACCATACACCTTTATTCATACGTTCCCAGATACCTTCTATGTCCTTCCACAAAGAGGAAGTATACTGTGGTGTTAGTGGCAGTTTCATCCAAGGGGGGTAAATTGGGTGAGTTATAAAAATCTTGCGAATTAAAAAACAGTAAGCTAGACAGAAACAAAGAGCGTAAGTTAGAGTGATTTCACCGTAGAGAGTAGATATAGAATTTATAGTGTTTAAGTTTTAACCACTTGACCTACGTCCAGTCCTCAGAACACCTCTGAGTATTTCACTAAGTTCCAAGATTAATTAGGCTCTTGGCACCGTAGTACAACAATTGATTTGCTCAATCACTCCTCCTTACTACCCATAAGGTTACAGACTCACTCAAGAGTCCACACTCTTGAGTTTCACTTAGAAAGTAATTAAGGATAATATGTAGAGCTCTCTCACAGAGTAAATAGATGAGAAACATTGAAACTCAGTACAAACAAGAACAAAGTATTAAATGCAACAGTAAGTTATTTGCAGAACATAGCTCGTGTATTCAATCTATGCATTCAATGCTTCTTCGCGCCTTTTATAGTTAAGGAAGTTTAATAACCGTTAGACGGAAGAGCTTCTAGCCGTTGAGAGTTCAGTTGTGTGTTTTTCCAGTTGCAACGGTTTTCGCCATTAATGCTTCTGACATGGTAGGTTACATGCTACTAAACAACCGTTGGATAACCGTTGAGTTCTTCATAATCTGTAATAATACTTCAATCTTATAAGTTTTTATTGCAGAGTAAAGCTTAGGAGCACAACTGATCAAATGATAAAAATGAACATTTATAGTTTGAAAGTGGAATCAATCAGTTACTAAATGTGTTGAACAAGAACTGGACATCCTTGATCGAAGTAATGATCGATGACTGGTTGATCGATCAAATTATCGATTAATCAAATAGAAAGAATTTGAAACAGGCAAATTTATTTATCGATCAAGTTATGGATTGATAACTTATCGATCAGGTAATTGATAAAAGAAAATAGTGACTTCAAAAAAACATGTAGAGGAAAGGCTCAAGGTCACTTTTGATTTTGAATCCCTTAAAATAGAGAATTAAGATAAAGAAAAAGGTTGAGAAAAGCTCGAAGGGAAATAATCAATATATTTTGAGAATCACGGTAATTTGTTGATGTTTAACTGGAAAGAGTCAATAATCGATCAAGTGATCGAAAACTGCTTGATCGATCGAGCTATCAATAAAGCCAAGTGAGATAGAAATATATTTTCAAGGAACAATGATTGAGTACTTTATCGGTAAATGAATGATGGAAGATTTGATTGATAAAAGAAATTTAACAAAATTTTTCAAAGGGCACAAAACCAATGATGATCGATTAATGTTTGATCGAGTAAGTGACAGATAAAATATAACAGAGAGACTTAGTTCTGAAATGCCAGGAAAAAGTTTGATTGATCACGTTATGTGTAAACAAAACAGTCAGATATATGGGTGATTGATCATTTCATTGATAAATAGATTATTGATCTGGTGATAGAAAAACCATAACTTGGAAGGTAGAGCGAGATAGCGATGATTGATCATTTGACTGATAAATCACTGATCGATCAAGTGATCGATAAATCAACCAGATAACAACCTTGAACACAGACGTATTGAGTGGGTTATTAAGCAATGTTCGATCATATTATTAATCGATAAAGTAATCGATAAATGATGACAGAAACAGACTATAACTAAAGCGAAAGAGCTTTACCATTTATCTGTCTTCTTAGTGATGACTTATTTATCGATCCAGTGATTGATAAATACTTACCAAAATTGTGTCCATTATCTGATAGTTGTTCGATCATTAGATTATCAATAAATTGATCGATAATTTTATGTAGACTTCTATACAAAACAGTGTTAACAATGATCGATCAATTGATTGATCAATACATATAAACTAATTTATCTATCAAGTTATCGATTAACATTTCTGCTAAGTTACTCGTTTACACAGGAAATTTATCTGACTAGTGATCGATAAACCCTTGATCGATCGAGTGATCGATCAACTTACCAAAACATAGATTACCCAATTTGTTATCATCAAAACCTTAAATCTAACATTCTCTTCTTTTTTGATAATGACAAAACACAAGTGTAAGATAAATTAGATTTTATTAGATAAAATTTAAACTACATCAGGAATTTAACAGAATCATACGACAGATAACAGTATTCATCAGTAAATATCAAAAAATGGCATGTCAAAATTCAAATGATAACCTAGAATTCAGATTACATAACAAAAATATATGAAAAACAAAAATAACAAAAATCAACAAAGTTAAACAACTAGACAAACAACTAAACAGATTCATTCTCTCTTTTTTTGTTAGCATCAAAAGGTGGGGAAGGCAAGGTGATTGAGATGGGAAGAGGAGGAAGCTGAGTAAATGGAGAGACAGTTTGAGGAATGGATGGAAGTAGCATAGAGGGAGTAGACTGAGGGACTGTGATAAGGGCTAAGGTAGGAGGAAGAGTGGGAGAGGTGGAAGGTATAGATGGTGAAGTAGAAATGGGAGAAGTGGGTATAGATGAAGTAGGTGGTTCTGGTTGAGGTTGAGAAGGAGAAGGAGATGAAGGGTGTGAAAGCAGGTCTTCAAAACTGAAGGAAGTGCTTGGTGCAGAAAAATTGTTACAGAGAGGCCATCATCCCTTTTAGATCTCTGATTTCTCTCTCACCATGATCAAACCTCTGTGAGATTTCTTTTTCCAAAACTATCATGACTCGGTAATGAAGCTCCAAAATTTTGGAAAGACCATCAAATTTCTTGTCAGATATTTCCCCATAGTCTTTGGTTGTGGCATATAATCTTTTCTCAAACTCTTGTAGTTTAGTTTGGAAAATATTTCGAATAGACTGCCATAAAATGAGGGACCTGAGGTTTGAGAGGGCTTTGCAGAAGATTCAACTTCATCTTGCCCCTTTGAAGCACTTGTCATTGGCTGTTTTGCTTTCTCCTTTCTTGCCAATTTCTAGGAAGATCGAAAGGGCACAGGAACCTTCATCTTGTTGAGCTGGTTAACTCCAAATGCAGGAACTTTTACTTTAACTTCCTCAGGCTCAAATGGTGCAATATTGTGTGCTTGAAGGAAGTATGTTACCAGCTGAGGATAGGGGATGGGAGTGGATTTGGATTTGTTGAGGATAAAATCCTTCATCTCATTATAAATCAAGGCTCCAATATTGATCTTCTCCCCACTGATTATCCTGGCTAACAGTAGGTAGTCATCTTAATTTAGGTGGGAGAAACTGCCAGATTTATTCATCATGCTCCTCGAATAAATGTAGTGGATTATTCTATAATAATCACACTTGTTTCAGTGGGAAGTTCAGTTCTCTTGGGTAATTATCACTCTGTATCAAAATCTTATATGCT